CCACCCTCCCCTAGTGGTCTATCCTCCACCCTCCTCCCTTAGCGGTCTCTCCACTGCCCCCTCCCTCCTTTAGTGGTCTCTCCCTCCCCTACTTTCTCATCTCCCACCCCTCGTGTTCTCCTCTTCTTCTCCCCCGGTGTTTTTCTCTTATTCCCCCCCCTCCCTGTGTTCTCCGCTTCTTCTCTCCCTTCCTCCTGTAATCTCCCCAGACACCTTTCTTCTTTCTCCCCCCACCATTTCCTCCCATCAATCTTCTCCCCCCACTCATCTCCTCCCATCATCCCCATCAAACCATCTCCCTCCTCCCAGACCATCATCTCCCTCAATCTTCTCCCATCCAACAAATCATCCTCCCATAAATCATCTCCCCCCATAAAAATCATCTCCCTCCCTCCCATAAAATCATCTCCCTCCCTCCCATCAAATCATCTCCCCCCCTCAATCATCTCCCTCCCCCTCCCTCCCATCAGCATCTCCTCACCTCACCTCCCTCACTCAGTGTGCACACAGTGGGTCCGGAAAGGAGCTCGGCCACGCTACAGGGCAGGGGAGGTGAGCAGTGGCAGCCGCCTGAGCGCTCTCTATAGAGCGCTCAGGCGGCTGCAGAATTTAAAGGGCCGGCGATGGGGGCGCAGGGCGCCCCCTCCTATATGGCGCCCTAGGCGGCTGCCTAGTTCGCCTTATAGGAAGCGCCGGCCCTGTGTGACCATATCCCTTGTATTTATCCTGCACCTTCATGCTCATATAAAGGCATTTATCTGCCTATAGATACACTGTTAATTCTTTTTTCCTCATCCCTCAGACTCAAGTAGTTAATCACTTTATAAGGAGCTATTTTTCTGTCTTTTTGTATTAATATTCAATAAAAGGGTATTTTTTCCTCTTTTTCTCACTACTTCTCTATTTTTGCTGAGCTCCCCTCTAACTACTCTCCTCATCAGAGGGGAGTATTAGGTTTTTCTTATTTCTATTTACATATTTGGGGATAATCTCAAACTGTTTTTCCAAATTGCCATTATTAAAAACCCAAATTGCCATTTCTGGGCACATTTGGAGATTTTCCTATATTTTTTTCAATATGGAGACACATTCAGAGCTTAGTAAATAACTCCCACAGAAATTATGATGTGTCTGAGTTTATCAATCTGCAAGCCATGGGTATCATGGGAAATGTATCACACAATAGCTTTATTTCCAAAGGTTAGTTATCGCTGCCCTATAGTATCCAGAGTAAATTATTTTAATGGAAATCTCTGTGAAATAGTAAATGGCTTTTTATAACCTCTGGTTCTCAAGCTTCTGACACATTTGCTCATTACGAACAAACACGTACTTTCTCTGTGAGGTGAATTACAGTATAATCCTAGTATTTCAGTCCTCAATTATTTTACATTAAGTCATTTTATATAAAAATTTACAATTACAAAAATGCAGTGGAAATTTTTTATATAAATGTGTGACACGCAAGCACACAAACACATCATGATCAGCCTTGAAAGTGGGTCTCTACTAGCGCCATTACCTGTTTATAACAGTTGATTTAAAAAAAAGTTTTTGGGTAAAATTGAATAAACAGTTTCTAATTTGTCTGGACTTCTTGTGGATACCTTGAGCATGTTAGATTTTTCAACACTACTTTTCCTCTTCTTTATAGAGAATGGAATTCTGGGTGCTAATCAGGTTTATTAAAGAATTTGAGGTTCTGATTGGCTACTGCTACATTTTTCTGCAATCTGTTTGCATTTAATCAGTAAGTGTTTCTAATGGCTATTTTAAGAAAGTAACATAGTTTATGGATATGTAGTCATAAAATCCCTACCTGGCCAAAGAAATTAATCCAATAAGAGTACATGGGAATTTCGATAATCTGGTACAAATTAATGAGTTATAACAAGTCTGGACAGCAGGTGGCAGCATAAAACTGCCTGCGAATGTAAATCAGCCACCATGAATCGGTGTAAAATGTACTGTCAGGATTATAATAGTATTGTCAAGGTTGCTAATACACAGTTGTCCAATCTAGCATTTCTGACATGGCTATTGCCATTGCTGAATGGGAAGGCAAAAAAATAAAAAATAAATACCCAAGCAAATAAAAAACAAATAAAAACTTGGATTTCTTCCTGGATTGAAACTATGATAAAGTGAGTATAATAACAGAAGAAGACAGGAGTAAATTTAGTTTGTAAAACTACAAACATGATATTATTGTTCAGACAGTGTTGTGTCTGGTGGACAGCGTATTGATATGTATATGGTTTGGAAATCAAAGGTTTGGTCAAGGTTGATTAAGAGACACTTCATGTGACACCACAGCAGTTGTAGATTGACTTCACTTGACCTCCCATGAACCAGTGTCTGCTTTTCTAACTGCATGTGATCTATTGGGGGCTGATCAGCAATGTTATCCTGGGGATATATGGGGGCTATTTAGATCCAGGTGATCGGGGATCCATTGGTCTTACTTAGGGGAGAAGATGCTTGATTAAATGGCTAATTATAGTATCAGGGCCAGAAGAATTGGGTAACCTCTGGCTTTATGGATGTTAAACTCTGGGACTCAGTACCTCTTAGACCAAATATTGGCTTAGATGGCTTGGAGATCCGAATTCTAATATCTGTCACTCAACTGGCCAGGAGATGGAGAGATGGCAAGGGATTTTTCTCTACACCCCACTGCATTTCATCATGGGAGAAGGAAGTGGAGGGGTGG